AAAGAAGGAAATGTGTGGCTTTGGTCTCGTAGTTCAGTTGAGAGAGGTGTTTAGTGTGTGGGCCTATCGTGTATTAGCACCTGTGCTAGTGCATTTCTTCTTTTCTGTAGATGAGCATACGGTACGTGCGGATGTGTCGATGTCTTTCCATAGAGCGGCATCTTTTTTTTTTTCTTTTTACTTTCTGCAGTTCGCCTGTAGGACCATATTCAAACATCTCCCTTGGTGGTGCATTCAGAGACAGTTGAGATTGCGGCAAAACATTGGAAAGAAACTTGACTTACTGTGAAATTGGAAGACTTTTCCTGCTCTTCAATCACTTTGCTTTTTTTTTTTTCCCCCACCTGTTGACTTGAATTTTGTTGTCGGTTTAGAAGCAAAGGTGTTGAGCTTTTCTCTGTGTCCTCTGGGTTTTTTTTTTCATTGTAATATTTATTTTTTAATGGGTTTTGGAGAAGTCAAGGCTTTTGAGTTGCTGATTGGAAATTGTCCATTGTGGCAAAATGTAAATAACCATCATTTAGTACTGTTAAGTGGCAATGTCTGTTTTTTTTTTTTTTTTTTGCACTATGTTCAGTTGTTGACTCCCATTCTCTTCAGTGTCAGTGAATGCACCACCACAGTTTCTAGATGAACAGTCCATATCTTCGAGATATGGTGGTGTTCGAGATACTCGATTAAGCATCGGCTGTAACTAGGGCTGAACAATTTTGAAAAATGATGGAAAATAACTTTTTTTTTTCATCCTCGATACTGCAGTCGTGATTTAGTATGCATTTTTTTTTTCCAAGGGTCTCATGTCCCATCTACTTTATATTTGTTTCAATCAACACGAGCAATAAATTAATCTGTATTACAAATAAATGATCACATTTATTATACATAAATGTTTTAGTCTTATAGGTCAGGCTTGCGCTAAATTACCACCACAACAACAAATATGAATGTTGACTTGCAGTCCGCTAAAACTTCACAAAATTCTACCGCACAGGTGTGGCATGAAAACACTTCAGTAAATCAATTACAATAATATGTAACCATGTGGACGGCATGTATTAAGCAATAAATCTAGGCACTGAAAAATAAAAATATACATACCTATTGAAAAAAAGGCTTCTGACCGAAATCGATGCAGCTTTTTTTGTTGTTGTTTATTCCCAAATTGCAGCCATTGCGCGTTGAAAATTACATTCAGCAATGCCGGTACTGAGTTTGATTCATTGCTCACTCCTAGCTGTAACGATGCCAAGACATTTTTCAACTACGTAAAGGAAAAGTGAGTGGAACCCAGAGATTCATCCCTGGTCAAAAATGAAGAAATTTGTCAAACCTTGTTGGAGGAGCAGTCGAAAGCGGAGTTAAGTTGTGTCAAGCCAGTTTTGCTGTACTAGTCGCTTAAGATGTTGCCAGAATTTGTGGTGTGATCCAAGACAGCTTGTGTAATGTGTTCTAGATGAAAGCAAAAAATAAATAACCGTTTTGTGCCCACGTGATGGGACCATTTACAGTTTGTGTTTGGGTAGCAGATCCATGTATCATATGTTTTGTTGTACATTTGTTAAATAAAAGATTTGTTTTAAACTATGATATTGTCCTAATTCTGTTCTCTTGAAAAAATGAGTGACTTTTCCCTGCATTTGTTAAATGGATGGAAGTCGAAACCAGTCGCTCTCAAACAAGGCTTATGCATTCCCCTGGGGGTATGAGAAGGAACTTCAGGGGGTACATGAGATTTTAAATTATGATTCAAAAATTCGCGTCAATGGGAAGAATAAAAAACAAAACAAAAACAGTTGCAGCAGTTGCCCGCTGCCACTAAGGATGACAAAGATCCTCAATGTCTCACCTCAATGAAAAAACACTCCGTTCAGTGCAACAATGCAAGAATCAGTGTTGATCATTGGTAGGTTTTTTTTGTTTGTTTTTGTTAACTTTTTATCTCCAAATAGTTCGAGAGATACCACTGCAAACGGACTTTCAAAATTGCTTCCAAATGTGTGCTGGTTAAGGGCTACTTGGCTGAAAAAATTTTCATAGGGCCATCAGGAAAAAAGGTTGAGAACCGCTGCTCTCAACGATGTTCTACACACACACAAACACACGAAAACATTTAAATCGTTTCCATGTAAGTTCAGTTGAGCCTCCAAAGTCTCACACGGTAACTTCCTATATAGAGGGCATTAATTTCACACTTGGGGAAAAAAAATGTGAACAAAAGGTTTTATTTCTCATAAATACAAAGCACATTCAAGGAATAAGACCCGCCCATTCCAGAGGGGATGCATCCAGTGTACACTTGGGACATTCAACAATTTGTGCAAATGAGCGGTCAAAGTCAGTAGACATTCAACAATTTACAGTCTGACCCTTTGCTCAAACAAATTCAAACATTCAACTCCGCACAACAATAAGCATGAAGTATAACGTGACGCCAGGTTCAGTTCGGAACCTGTGGATTTGTAAAACCTGAGCTTTAACATTTAGATATGCAACACAGGGCTAGTCATGTGGTCCTTGGGGGCTACCTGCTGCCCCCCTGCTCTAGTTAAACTCGTGGATGACAGGACTGGCAGAGGAGTAGAGCTTTCTCTTTACCAGCTTGTACTCTGGTCTCAGTTTTAACGCTTTACTGCTCTCAAAGATGTGCTTGAGTGGTGGCCAGCTGTCATTCGCGTCCGCCTTAAACACGACCGACAGCTCAAATGTCGGGGTGACACTCGAGTCAGGGAAAACGGAGCCCAAAGACTTGAGGCCATTCTTGGTGTCCACATAGAGCCTGATGGAGGCGCCCCGCAGCCCGCACGGCTCATCCGTGGAGGAGCGCAGCACGTCGCGACCGACCCGGGCGGTCATCTGGCGGGGGAGAAGCAGCACCTTGCAGTGGAGCACGGAAGCCTTGGCCTCCGTCAGGCAGCGTTCTATGTGACGCGTCAAATCTTGTTGAAGGACTCTCTCTTCCTGCTCCAAACCAGCATCCATGTTGGGAGCTGTGAAGGACAGCAGAAAGAGCTTTTTTTAGTTGAATACATTGAAAAAGATAATAGTATGCAGTGAACCCATGAGGTAGCGCTGGTTTGAAAGGGATCTTTAGCTGAGAAGCCCTCATTTAGATTGGGGACTTGCAATGGGGTAAAGCTGTAAAAGGAAAAAAAATAATACGGTCCATCTGTAATGCACTCCCTGCGATAAACAGGTTCAGTGTCTGCATATTGTTCTTACATTCCAATATACATTGCTGAGAATCACCAGAAGAGAGAAATTCAACTTCTCAACATGACATCAGCTGATTCAAGAACCGCACCACTTGCATCAGAAAGCGTCGCTTGGTGCTTCTTCCGCTGCATGAACTAGTTCGATCAGCCCCACCGCAAGTTATTTGTACTAGTTTGTATACTTACAAAGTGAAGGGTTGTCGGGCCCGTGGCAACTGTCTACGCTTCCCCGTCGAAGCGAAGGGCCTTCTCTTTTTTCTTGACGCAGCGACGAGAGCCTGAAAAAGTACGTTCCTATCACGTCCGTGATGCTTTCTTCCTCTCCCAAGACGGGCACTTTTTTTCCAAAGAGAAGAGCCGCGGTATAGACCATCTCGATTCCTGTGTGTACAACTCCGGTATCTCGTCCGGACGTTGACTTTCTTTTTTCTCCATGTATTGATGAACGGCGTCAAGTCAGGACATCCGCGGATGAGAGCGGACGAGCTTTTGTAGCGGAGGAGTTGGTTGCATCAGCTGAACTCGCGCGTGTGGGCGGGGCTTAGAGCTTTCGAACGTTCCCGAAGCGTCTCACGCAATTTGTCCGGACGTTTCGGTCGCCAGGTTAAAGGAAGTGGCACCTAATATAATCTGGTTCAGCAACTGTGTACCTGGAAAAAAAAAACACCACCGGGAAATAAAAAAGAAAAACAGCAAACTTTACATACACAAACACCATGTGAGTAAAAACTTTGACGACCACTTATTTATGCACGTAAAACAAATTGTCGTGAGACATCGTGGGTACCGCGAGTGAACACACTGATGCAACGACCAAAATGTAAAAAAAAAAAAAAAAAACAGGATTTGTGTGCTGGTTAACGGGTGCTCTTCCGTGATTGGGGTTCATTTTAATAAGTTTATTTCGGGGGCTGAGGGGCGTAAGAAATTGACCTTACAGCATAAAAGATACATGAAACTACAACGTCAACTGGACACTTAGCGAGATATTTTATTTTTCATCGTATACAGTAGTTTGCAATGTTTGGTGCAACCGCCTTAGAGCTACTGTAGCACCTGAAAAACGTGCCTAAGAAATATTTTATTTTTACTCCTAATTTTCTGGAATACGACGAGCTGATTTAATATGCATTTGATCTGTTGTATTTGATACGGAAGTTGGTCATCGGGGGGGGGGCGTTTTAGGGGTGCTGTAGAGCTATTAAGTATTTTAAATATTTAGGAATCGCTTCTACTCAAGCAACAATCTTGTCGATACAACTATAATTTACACAAGTACTGGACATGTTTTGCATCGGGAGGGACATAACAATTCCTCTGAATCCTTGTACCTCTAAAATACTGTAATAACTTTTCAGGAGATCCCCAAAACACAACACTTCACATTGGTCAATAATTTGTTAAAGATAAAGAAATACTTGAAGGGAGACTGTGCAGTGGGGATTTCTAACCACCTATTCCCCTATATGTAGCTGGGGCAAGGATTAAACAAATATAGTAATTCATGGTGCAAGAAAAATAAACACATTCAATGTTTATCTAAACTAGCCTGTAATCTAATTCGTTAATATCATTCATGAATTCTACAACGCTTGGAATGTACTGACATCATAGATGCTCTGTGTCATTCAGTGCTTATTGTGCTCATGATGGGATTTGAATTGAGTATAAGAGATACGTGTGTGTGTGTGTGTGTGTGTGTGTGTGTTTGGATGGATGTTTAAAACCTTTTGGCGTACTGGCTTTATGGAAGAAAAAAAAACTGCGATTCAACATGTTGACTTGTGACACTACAGATACATTTTTGTTTGTCCTGGATAAAAACCTTTAATGACATCCCATTTTAAGATGCTTGTCCTTAAACCGTAATGATCTGACAACAATGTTACAGTGTATTTTCACAGCTGTTTTGTTTTGTTTTTCAAATGTGGCAACTGTGTGGAAATTGGATTGCCATTTGAGTTGCAATTTGCCTCCAAACAAGACGGCGGCGAGGCTGCGATCACCTGACCTCAACGGGTCCAGACTCGTGATGTGAGCCCTGCCTTTTACTCACAGTTGAGTAACACCTTACTCATTCGTTCATTAATCCCTTGAGATGTGTTTTATGTTTGACTTCGATTATATCCATGAAAATGGTCTCCTCATACTAAATTGTCTTTCAGGTGACCCCACAACTGCCGCTGTCACATTTGCAACATGGCAACTTCAAAAAATGCATAGTAAGGGAAATGAGTACCTTGCCTAACATTTTTAACTGTGCAATCATGAAAAGACAATATGGAAAGCACTAGACTGCTGAGTCACCGGCTCCTCCTTCGACATCATGGGTTCTTACCGAAGATGAAGTGAAAAGTTGTTTTCCTCAGAGAAAATCACAAAGTGCAAGGACACGGCACAATAAGGAGCGGTGACTGTGACTTAGTGGTCTGATACAATTGTCAATGTAATTTTCCATTTGAGGATCAGGAATATACAATAAATCTTCATCAACCAATCAAGCGTTATTACGAGAGCACTTTTCACTCAAACAGTTGGAGCTCGCCACTGTGAACGGCGGGGTAAAAAGACGCACCCACTCACCCAACAAATGATTGATGCAGAAATGTTTGGAATGAAAAAACAAAACAAAACCCAGCTGTGACTGCCGGAAGATAAACACGTTCATCAAGGCTTGCACAAAGATATGAGCTGCGCTTCTATCATCAGAATTTTCCACAGGCTTGGACCCTCAACTCATACAAATGCCTCTTAGTCTTGTTGAATGAATGACTTCAACCAGTTTTATAGATTTAATTTTTTTTAATGAATATTCTAATTTATTCAGCACATTTTATTCACGGGGCAATGAATGGGATTTATTTTTTTAACATAAGCAAAAGAATCACTGGTGAGCATCATAAATTTCGAGCATTTAAGAAAAAAATATTGCAGATCTCCATTAAATAAATGTTCTTTTTTTTCCTTTGAAATATAGAAATATATTCTGACTAGACAAGGAGACTCAAACGTCCAAAGCTCCAATGATCCTATATCACAAAGAGAATGATTAAACTGGCGTGTTTAGTTCAACCCGGAAGACTAGCACTCATTGTTAGAATAACATCGGCTTGCCAGCTGACGTCACCTGCTTACAATGCCATTGGTGGAGAACAAGTCTGACCTGTCTCAATCGTCAACCCCCTTGAGGTGAACTCATCCATTTGCAGCTTAGGCTTTGTTTAATTACAAAAACATATGCACACAACAAAGCACTCGTTTTGCAAGAAACAAAACTGTTTGATTAGATACCTGCTAATATTTTGTATTAAAATATCACTTTTTCTTAGCTGTATTCATTCATTTCAGTCCTGCTTCCAAAAGGTTCACCAACTATGGCAGGGGCCAAGGGCATCAGGTGCTTCGCAGATGGGTAAATCAAGGACCTTGGCAGTCAGATCCACGACTACAGAAGCTGGTTCGAAGGACATGTAATGTCACTTCCCTGGCAGAAAAAGATTCTGAGGTGCTCCAGCACGCCGTCACCCTGGTGATGATTGGTGGGTTGTAAAAAGAAGGAATGAATCTGTATGCACGTGTCACGTATGGTGCAATGCGATTCGTAGGCTGTGCCTAATTTTATCCTCATGTGCAATATGCACCTACTACAATTTTATAATTTAATTGAGCCTCTCTGTTTGTTCGTGTTGCTGGTCTTCAATTATCCCTCAGTGAACGTAATTTGTAGTTCAGACTGAATGCAACACAACTGTACTTTTATTGTATGCCGACTACCTGTCACCCTAAAAATGGTAGCTGGAGTGCACTTGTACAACACCTTTATCAACAACAGGTCAAATCAATCTTTTCAAGTGTCTAATGGTCTAGCTGTCACCATCACAAACTCTTTATTAACGGTACAAGCTATGTTGAAGCATTTTTTTTCTATAATCTAAATTGTGTACCGGATGCAAATACCCCCCCCCTCCAAAAAAAAAGATTAAATATTCATTTATTTTCTCATGTTTCAGTAACAACAATAAAATATAAAAACATTGGCCTCATTGTTCCAATACTTTTGAAAGGGCGAGTACATACTTTTCCTTCATAAAATGTCAGCAAACGCTTCGTTCCCAAGTGATACAAAAGTGAATTTTGCGTACTGCATTGTAAGTCCCTTTTACTGTGAGCCGATATACTGAAGAGTAACATCCCCAAAGGGCCTTAACATGTTTAGTTGAGAGACAGTTTGGGCTATTTAATTAGTGACTCACTGGATGAGCCTCGCATGCTGCCTCACGTGTCTTTGTACGGTCAAAGACAGGATGTGAGATGATTCCAATAAATGATTTACTGGGACAAAAATAGTTTGTCATTTTAGTGAAATTCAGCAGAAATATTAAAAAGATAAACTAGTGAAACAGGCCTGGACAAAAATGATGGGAGCCATAGAAAAATAATTTCACCAAAGGGACATTTTCGATGGGCGGCGCTGTGTCCGCCTCACAGCGCAGAGGTGCAGGGTTCGATTCCGGCTTCGGCCTTCCTGTGTGGAGTTTGCATGTTCTCACTTATACTGTGTTGAATTTACTCAATTTTATTTTGTCAAGTGGTTACAAGAAAGAAAATGAAATGGAATTTTAAAAATGTTTTGTTTTGTTTGATATACTGTACTATATATGATGTGACCATGTTTTACAAGTAGATGGCGCTATTACTTTGCTTTACTAATCTGTTCCTTCATGGCCAAATCATCGTATTTGACCAGGTGGTGGTGATATTGCTGAAAGTCTGTCAAGATAATAATGCTCAGTTATGAATAACACTGTCAGAGAGGTATTCATTTAGCACTGTGATTGTGTTTGAGTTTCTACTGGCGTAGAACTAAACTGGATCATGCTGACTGTTTAATATTTTTGTTTTCTGATTAAACTCCAATATTTTGCAACTTTATTAGACAGTCCTCTACATAAAGACTGCATCATGAGGTTCTTTAATTTGGACTCTAACCATTTGAATTCGTTCTCATTGCCTGTCCATTTCAAATGAAATAACATTAAAATGGAAAAAAAATAATAATTATAGCAGTTGTCCTCATTGGGGCCACCTGGAGCCCACCCTATGAACACATGCATGTTTTAGGAATGTGGATGGAAGCCAGAACACGCAGAAAAAAATCTCAGTGAACATGTAAACTCCACACAGGAAGAAGCAGATATTTTAAACACGAAACACAATTGGTAATTTATACTTGTGACCCTGTTTTCCTTGGTTGAACCAGATGGGGACTGGACTCCTCGGCCACATCGCCCCACAACACCCTCATTTCCTCCCGTAGAACGGCATGTCAATCACATCGCACCCTATGTATATCGGGATACGGATACAGCTTCTGCAATTAGAAAATTGTGTTCTCACAAATCGGGATTGTGTTAAGGCTTAACACATAAATTTAGCCAATTTAGCGCATGTATGGCATAAACCTTAAAGCGGGTGGTGGTTTGATACCTGCAGTACGTCAAGCACGGAGCGCATAGATTAAGGTTCTCTGGTTCTCTTTCATTCATTCAATTAGTAATTCAGTCCGCATGGATTAGGAATGAACCGGACGACAGCACATTTCATTCTGTGGGGTTCAGCTCTTTTGTTCCTCCGTTACTCAGCAGGAACTATTGTTTGCAAGCCTTACACCTGAAGCACTGTAAAGTTAGAAATGTTTTCCTCTGTTTTCCTAGAAATAATTTTGTGCTCAAAATCCAACTTTTCATTTGATAACCGCTGTCTAAAATGATTTTTATAGTTCTAGGATTGTTAGTGAAGCAGCAGTCCCAGTAGGCCAAGTTAAAGGACAAAGGCAGACTTTGGGCCATATTCCACCCCCCCAGATGTCTGAAATCGCCATCCCTCATGGACTCTGCACACCAAGAATGTCACAACACATCACCTCTCAGGGGAAGCCACCCGATACCCTTTTGAAGGTGTCAGGCAAAAGAAAATGGCATCCCCCCACAAACACGCAGCACCTTCTTATGTAGGATGCACATATTTTTAGACCAAAAGCAACAGACAGACTTAGCTGCACTGTGTTATAGTCTCTTAAATATTAGTGCTTCATATCTTGAAGAGCGTGTCGAGATGTGTCAGAAAAGGTCAGAAGCTAATGTCTCTCAAGGTGTATTCTAAAGCCAATCCACAAACTATGAACGTTTCCCTAGTGTAAGCCAGACGATTAACCGACACATCTATAAGGAGACCCTGCGGCCTTTGCTTTGTTCAGTGCACAAGATGAGGTGAAAGTTGTGGCAGGACAACTCGTGGCTGCTTCATGACAAAGTGCCTTCTCACAATGCCCTGAATTGCTCAGTTCCTGGCCAAGACCGGCATTGCCTTGCTGGAGCAAACTCCCGAAGCACCTGACACCGTGTGATTTCCCATGTGGACCGTTTTGAAGATGTGGGCAAAATCAAAGCGGCTGTGACGACGGAGCTGCGGAGAATCATCGCCGAATTCTTTTCGGAGTGCATGAAGGTGTGGCAGAAAAGGCTGGAAAACTGCAGTAGACTCCAGAGGGAGTACTTGGAATAGTGAAATATTGTATTGTACTTTTTTATGACACACTTCATAGACCACTGAGCTCTGTAGGGAAGAAGGAATTATATTTTTATACCCTAAAATGCATCACTAAGATTTCAATTTGGTGCCTACCTGATCATGTGCTTGCATTTCATTTCTACAATTAGTTCCAGTTCCCAAGTCGAAGAGGATATTTGTGGCTCTGGAAGTAGATCAAATGGCATCAGCTGCATTTTGCTCAGCGCATCTCATGTTGATAAATGTCGACTCGAATGTTGTCAGTGAAGCTCATCATGAGGACATCTGTTGTACAAATAGACTCTCATCCCAGCATCAAACCTTAATTGATTCACGTTTGTTTGTTCTCTCCTCCCAAAGACTCGAAAATAAGCGACATTTCTGGGTCAGTGCCAGTCAGGGAAGAAGGAGGTTCTTCCCAGTTCAGGAGAAACAACAAACAGATGCTGACATCAGAAATAAAGGAAGCACAGTGGTGCCTTCAAATATGAGTGACCCACCTTTTGCACAGGCTATCTCTCTCTCTCTCTCTCTCTCTCTGTCTCTCTCTCTCTCTCTCTCTCTCTCTCTTCTTTTTGTTCCTCTCCGTTTGGTTGGTTATACTGTCAAACTTGACAAAGAGAATTACAGTGTGTATTTAAAATAGCCGCATAGCGTCACTTCATCACTTTCAGTCTGCTTTCATCTATCCTTTGATCCTCACAAGGTTCGCGGTCGTTCTGGAGCCTATCCCAGCTGTCTTCGGGCAGTTGTGTCCACCCTGAACTGGTTGCCAGCCAATCGCAGGGCATACTGTACATAGACCAACAACCATTTGTGCTCACAATCCCACTTGCAGTGTTCAATCAGCCTGCCATGCATGTTGTTGGAATGTGGGAGGAAACCGGCGGACCCGGAGAAAACCCACGCAGGCCAACGCGCTCACCAGTCTCCCACCTTGCCGCCTAGTCCGCTTCCTTAATGCAAAAGTCAAGTCAAAAATGTTGCCTTGTAATAGCATGTTCTATATGTAGTCACTAGTCTAAACATAATATTCTGATTAACACTAGATATTTGTGCCAGAATGCAGATGGCTAAGAGGGTGTAGAGCCAGGAAAAAACATCATAGCGACCCAGCGGCCTCGCTCGAGTCACCCTTTTACATAGTATGTACCAATGATCTCAACAGATCCACAATGGAGATGTCCAGGATGCAGTTGGGGAAATCTTGGCTCCCTCACATGAATTACATTTACCACATATCTTTTTGAAATAAGAAGGAGCCAACACTCACCTCGGTTGGTTTGCTGCGGTGCAAATTACAACCCAAAAGCCTCGACACATACAATGTATCTTTGGACTGAATGGTGGTTATTGACATAAATAAACTATGTAGGCAGTTTATTTGCATTCATGGAAACATGAGGATGTGTATGTATGTGTCGGGGGACATGGAGGGGCAGCATGGTGGCCGACTGGTTAGCATGCCGGCCTCACAGTGCAGAGGTGCAGGATTCGACTCCGGGCTCCAGACATCCTGTGTGGAGTTTGCATGTTCTCCCCGTGCCAGCGTGGGTTTTATCTGGGTGGTCCGGTTTCCTCCCACATTCCCAAAACATGTGTGGCAGGTCAATGCATGACTCTAAATTGTCCCTACGTGTGATTGTGAGCGCGAATGGTTGTTGGTCTTTGTGTGCCCTGCGATCGGCTGGCAGCCAGTTCAGGGTGTCCCCCTCCTAACGCCCGAAGACAGCTGGGATAGGCTCCAGCACAACCCACGGCTCTTGTGAGGATCAGAGGATTAGAAAATGGATGGCTGGATGGAGGGGGAATGTAGTTTGCAATGTTTCATCTCCAGGAACAAAAGGCCCAGGATTGATTCCAAAGTTTCATGCATATTTTATTCAAGAGTAAAAAAAGTGGATCGTCCCAGGGGCATGCTTATAGTGTTAGTGATTGGAGAGTTGAAACCAAAAGGGTGAGCAAGAGAGCAAGAGAAGGGAAAGAAAAGACAGCGAGAGAAAGCGAGAATGAGAGAAGGAAAAGAAACCGTGGCACAGTCGCAATGGCGTGGCATGGGGTTGCCAGGGGCACATAGTTTCACCTCTCCCACCCAAAGAATCACAGCAAGATCGACCAAGGAGAAACGGAACATAAAGAGCAATGAGCAGAGAGAGCAGGAGAGAGAGAGAGAGAGAGAGATTAAATATTAAGAATTATGTTGGTAATAAATATAAGCATCGAACCATAAATATCAATAACAAGAGGAATGAAGATGTATGCGAGTACACAGTTCTTTAAATTGTCACAGCAACACGGCGTACTGTGTTAAAATGTGTCTTGCTGCTTTTTGCTTTGAACTGCACATTTTTTTCTTGGTTTTTTTTTTCTTGTTTTTTTTTTTTTTTTTTTTTAACCATGCAATCATGCTTTTGGCTGCCCAATCGCCTGTGCCTCTGTATATTGGGTGGTCATTCAATACTAATTCGTATTTCATTAGAAACGATTCCTGTACATTGACAAAGAACAAAGTATTGGCTGCGGACTCCACACCTTTGATTCAAAGTGTTCCGTCATTCTGGACAGCGCTAACACAAATGGGAAGGCGGTGATGAAAAAAACTGGGAAGAGAAGTCAACCTAATATCACACAAAGTGAATACAAAAAATCATACTGACATGATGAGCAAACTGTGTCATTACTCCTCACATTAGCCAGAAAAACAGAAGAAAAAAAATCTTACTATGGTGAAACACAGAGCACAAATATAATTCACATTATTATCAAATAACTTAACTGTGCATGCACCGATGCGTTAATATAAATGCTTTACAAAGATGTTTTTCCTCGGACTTCTTTTCTTGAAGAATCTGTTTCTTCCATAAAATAGAATTTCCTGCTATTCAGGCCAGAGATTGTTGGCCATCAGTGCCATTTGGTAGCAAGAGGGTTGCGGAAAGGGAATTAATTTCGAATGACTTCACATTTCAACCACCGTCCTCTCACAAACATGAAGCATTCCATTACTGCTCAACTGCATCTTGCATCAGGTGTGTAATATAAACGTTCCAAGTATGCTATTTACATACCAAAGCTCAGGAGAGATACTTCATCACAGCCTAGTTTCCGACATTTTTTTTTTTTTTTTCCCCGAGAGCTAGTTAGCCTGAGACCAGAGGGGGTGAGTGGCCCTCCACTCTTAATTGGGTGGAGGTCTTGTGCTACAAAAGCAAATGGGAATGTTCTCCCCACAATAACAGACGAGGGCTCAGATCAGGCTGCGGCTGCGATTATCTTTGCGCATCTTTGTTGGATAGGCCACCGCTCGTCTTTTTTTCTGTTGTTTTTTTTCTCCCCACCTCTATCTTGGTGACGAACGGCACATTTGTCAAATATAAATGCATGGACACTGTTAAAGCATATCATCCGTCCCATAAAAACATCACTTTTTATACATTTGGTTCCACTTCTCGCGTTTTGCTGCAAACAGGAACAAGACTCTCTGAAGCTTCCGATGGCCGCACCTTGACCCCACTCGCTCCTCGTCAACGCGACTCATTCCATCGACGCGGCTGCATGACGCTGACGCTGTCCACGCACTGGTGATCGCCGACATGCACAGTGAATAGTAGCCTCTCTCGTTCTGCTCATTTTGTAGTTTCTTTCCTCTTTCTTGCCGCGGGTACAAGGGAGTGGTAGTTCTCTGAATAGAGAAGACTTCCTAAAGTCCGGCCACACTCAAGCCTTAACGTACAGCGAAAAACAAGGAGTAGATACCGGTAATCATATGAGTGTGCGTATGTTTGTATGTGTGAAATATGCGTTTGTGTGTAATGCTTTTGCGTATCGAGTCTGGCTATGTACAGATTATCGTTCAGGATGGCGCTATACGAGGGTTGAAACCGCAGTAACTGCGTCTGGCCGTGTGACAGTACGCATCCAATCACTGTATATTGCTGTTGCTATCCGTCCCATTGGGCTCTCCCATATTCATGCGGCCCATCGACAGGCCCACACTGTTGATGGCATCACGCCGCGGCGGCATTCTCTCGTTGATTCGGTCCAGACCTTTGGCCTCCTCAAAACTGCTGATCCGATGCTGCGGGGAGAAGCCTCGGATGGCTGCGAAGACAAGCAGACGCACAAACAGTGCACATGCAGTTATTATCTGGACGTTTGAAAGAAATGCCTGTATCCAAACTCTTGAAAGAAAAACCCTCTTAACTGAATGTCAGTCCAGCTCAAGTCTAATCTAATTGACCGAACTTTTTAATGCTTTCGTTCAATACCAGTCAGGACAAGCAGATTATTTAGTCCCGTCTATCTCCCGGAAGCTTTCGGTTTGGATAAACAGAATCTGGTCATACTGCGCTTGTTCTTCTAGCAGTATCTACACACATCAGGCAGCGTTTATCTGTTGTTCTCCATGCTGAGCCCGGATTAGCTGGAGGACCTAACTACTGATCCTAGATCAGCAAAGCCCTTAGGAGGGCGAGCGGATGAAACAAATCACAGCTCTAACAGAAATGGTGGTTCATTTGGTCTCGCAAATGGAGTAGTCATGTTTTCATTTATTTTAACTCCTTAAAACAGCGGACTCATTTAATTAGGCTTAAGTACAAGAGTTGTTGCTCCACTCTGTACCGTCAATTGAGGAACAATTGAGGCTTATTCCTAAAGGAAAGAAAAGCAGCCGTTTAATTTGGCCATTTTATATAGTTTCACAAGACAACTTGACAAATCTTTCACAAACGAAAACACAGCAAACTAGGTGACAGTTTCAGCCGCCACCTATCAACAGCATTTGTCATCAATGATGACAGATACTCCCATTGAAAAGCACCACTGTTCAGACTGCTACTACCTTTTCACGAACATGCAGCCACTTACAAATATTCTGCTTCACAGTGGACATCCAACATTGGTCTAAGGGGTCTATTTACATCACAGAAAAAACCCCACCATACAAGAAATACCCATAATTTATTGACTTGAACAAATTATGGATTGTAGTTATGATAAGTCACAGACAAGGTTATATCTACAAATCCAAATTCAAAAGAGGCTGTGTGAGCAAAGACTTTGGTAATGAATTCAACTTGTGGTCAATTATAGCAAGATACAAGGGGAATTTGATGCCTGCAACATAAAATATGTTCAGAAGTTATCCGGAATGCCATGGCTTCTAACATTTTTTTTTTTTTTTGGGGGGAGCATGCTAGCTTGTGAACTTGAAATCTCTTTGCCCTGGTTTACATTCCACCAAGCTGCCCCGTTCAGTTTGGGAGGGAACACAATTTTTGGGAGTGGACAAAAATATTTCAAGCAAACATTACCTCCATTTGGCATTGTTTGTACTAAACCTGGAGTGCCATGAAAAAGTATTTGCCCCCTTCCTGATTTCTGTGTTCTTTGCATATTTATCACACACAAAGATTTCAGTTCGTCAAACCAATTTTAATATCACACAGAGACAACCCAAAAAGAACATTCTGCCAACAGGGAAGCAGGGCGGTGAAGGTGTGATGGTCTGTGGCTGCTTTGCTAACTCAGGACCAGGACAACTTGCTGTGATTTATGGGACAATGATGTATGCTATCTAACAGAAAATCCTGAAGGAGAACGTCCGACAATCAGTTTGCGCCTTCAAACTCAAGTGCTCTTGGATCATGCAGCAGATCAATTATCCAAAACACATCAGCAAGTCCAATTCTGATTGGCTTAACCCCCATATTAAGGTTTTAGGAGTGGCAAAGTCAAAGTCAGGATTTAAATCCAATTGAGATGATGTAGTGTGACCTTAAATGGGCAGTTCATGCTAGAGAACCCTTCATGGCGAAGTTGAAGCAATGTTGCGAAGAAGAGTAGGCCAAAATTCCTCCACAGCAATGAGAAAAACTCATCACCAATTATCGCAAATGCTTGATTTCAGAACAACCCATGATTAGGTTCAGGGTGCAATTACTTTATCACATACGGACAGGTAGGTTTGGATTTTTTTTTTTTTTGTGCCTTAATAAATTACATTGGCATTTAGAAACGGCATTTTGTATTGCCTTGATCAGTCCCTGTGTGATATTAAAATTGCTTTTCTGAGCCTGAAACCTTTGCATGTGATAAATATGCAAAGAACACAGAAATCAAGAAAGGGGCAAATACTATTTCACTGCTCTGTAATTGTCGCATAAAAACATCGCTTTTCTCAAAATAAAGAGCTCTCCACAATCTTGTGGTACAAACACAGGCCAGAGCAGGTTTTACAGTTCCAAATCACACCATAGATCTGGAGTGTACTACTTGGTGGAAATGTGACTGTTGCATTCCAGGGCCTACGGGAAACCATTATACTGTAATCCCATGCCAGGTCGAATTGCGGTGTTGCTTTCGGTGCTAAATGCCACAGGCCATTGTTTGTATTTTCCTTTGACCGTAATTCTGAGATTTCTTCTTCAAACTGTTGCTTGATTTGTGAAAATCCTAGCTTGTGGATGAGCACCAAAGCTCAACATTGCAAATATTTCCCAGTCTTGACTATGTCCATACCGGATCGTGTTCCAGGCCGTCAATTCCACATTGAATAATTCATATGCAAACCATTGCTTTCCACACCTCAGTGATTTTGGAAGAACAGACAAACCGGAACATTGCAGTTAATTAAAGCGTGCTTTTCACCACCAAGCCTTTGTAAACAAAATACTGACACATTAAATACAAGTACCATGACATCAATCTGTTTGGTAAGTGAACAGTGTCAGCGCTTAGTGTTTTGAAACAAAGTTGTGGCAATCAGCTCTTTCCAATGCTGTAAATCTCTTTGCCCTTTTGCGGACAAAGTTAAAAGACAAGGTGTCAACGTATCCTTTTATATATATGACAACAATTTCATCTCCCTCCTCACAGGTGGCTCACAGGACGAAACAGATTGATTTCATGGTCATCGTTGACAGCATCTATCACATATTGAATCAAAGGAATAGCAGACAACAAGGGGGCCCGATCCACCTCATCAATGTACACTCCCACCACCAAGCCTGCGTCTCTAGTGCGTGTGCGCGCGCATGTGTATGTCTGTGCCAAAATGATTGTAGCTTTCGAATGTGAACACTTGTGTGTGCTAGGAGAGAAAAAGATGAAGAAGCTGGTTGTTATTTAACCCCCACCCCCAAAAAAAAAGAATATGAAGAGTATGTATGTTTGAATATGAATGTGTTTTAATGTGGTGACTTCAGCGAGCTGCGGTTATCGGCTTTGTTGTGAGAGCGGATGCAGTTACAAAAGCGTTGTGCATCATGAGTAAAGACAATTTATGATTTAATGGGCATGGGTGGCAAAGAGCGCATCCATGCTGCTGGCCCCCCCCCCCCCCCACACACACACACACACACACACGCACGGTGATATGAGTGGCTTTACCTTCGGCATCCTTAACTGTCTCGATGGCTTCTATGGCCTCAATGGTAGCTGAATGATGGTCAGACAGATCAGAAGAGGGGACAGGAAGAAAGACGACAGATTCCGAGAGAGCAGAGTCAAAGAGACGGAGGAGACAAAAAAAAAAAAAAAAAAAAAACGAGTGAAGGCTGAAACATGCTTCTGTGCAGATACACATCTCTGGACATGACAGCGTTTGTGGCTCATGGAGGCTTATGGAAAATACAGGCCCTCTGTTGGAAATATGCGTGAAACTTGCACATTGCTTACGCAAAAGCATGTTTCAGGCTGAATCCATGTGAGGCCCGCAGAGCAACGCTGAGGCCGAGGCAGGTTTGAGAGCTCCTGGGGTTAGCGGTACTTTTGGCTCACTCACACACTATCCCTTTCTCTCCTCTCCCCTGATATCCGTGCCCCTCTGTCTCACACGTACAACCAGCAGGCTGTTAGTATCCTCAGCACCAGTGAAGTGAAGTGGAGAGAGGGAATGAGTCCACAAGGCAGAGGGATGACAGGAGATAAACGGAAGTTTAAGAGGAGAAGAGGAAAGAAGGCAAGAAAAGACCTCAGTGTGGTCCAACGCACATGCTTCCAAGTCTACCGTATTTGTAGTTACCTGTGTGTGTATTTATCTATTTTCAAATGTTTGGTGTCTTTCGGGTTAGGTTTGACAGTCAAGTGTGTTTAAGTGTGTGTTTGCGATTGTGTAAAACACTCACCGCTCTGCAGAGTCTGTTTACCCCCTGAAAGCACTCCGCTTGGCAGCATACCTGTGGGGGTCAGCCCCTTCAGGGTCAACACGTTCTCACTCTCCTCCCTGAGAGAGAGAGAGAGAAGGAAGAGAGAGAGGGGAGAGGGGGGAGAGAGAGAGAGAGAGAGAGAGAGAGAGAAGGCGGGAGAGAAGGCGGGAGAGAAGATGAAGGCTAAGTATAGGAAAAGATAATTTGGTCACAGAAAGTAGACTGTGCTCGGTGTAAAAACAGACACATCTTGATTTTTGTACTGATGCAAGTCTTGGTTAGCGTTTAGGTGAATTTGGTAGACCGCGCTTTGAATTTGAATTTGAATTTGGTAAACTGAGGGCGTTTTCTATTATCCTCGACTAGGCTCACCTGCCAATTTGGTGAGAAAAAGTAGACTCAATTTTAGGCGACCTAAAAGTAGGTCTTAATGTAGCGCAGGTGGTGTCACACGAGTTTGGTGTATTTGATGTAGGCACAGAGAGATTCGGCACTTGCGGACGTGTGTCGCCTGACAACAGCGTGGGACAATATAGAAATCAATTCAGGAAAATAAATTAGAATCATTTTAATCTCAAAAATGTATTAACAACATCCCATGACTGCAGTGCCCCACAACATGGGTTGTCACACACAGTCTTGGGTGCAATACACGCGCGGCCGATTACATCTTCCACAATTGGAGATCTTGCGCTTCCTTGACGTGTAAATGCACGTTGCGCACGTCAATCTCCTGCATGGAATCCAATGTGTCCTTCCGCATGCATGAGGCTACGGGCATGCCTCTTTCAGTGACAAAGTCACAACGGCCCTTAAAGGGGACACCAAAACTGGCCCGCGACTAAAATGAGTTTGAAACCCCTGCACTTAACAAAAGTTTAACAAAATGGGATTGTAACACTAAATACTTGATCCTTTTACAGTTTTCTTCAGTTTTTGGGTGTCTTCTGATTGCCACTACAAAAAATAATTAGAGATGGTCATGACAGCATTGCGCCCCCCCCCCCCCCAAAAATGAATGAACGCCCAGGGCGTCAGACTAACACAGTACATTCTAGACGGTGTTCTCAAGTCAACTCACCGTAGAACAGAAAACATTTTGGCCATCTTCCCGATGGCACGGATTTTGTTCTTAATCACCTCCTTCCTGGCTGCAGCTGCACTTGCTGTAAAAGAGACAAACAGCATGTTATTAATTGTCACAAAGAAAACTCTTATACGATGGATTCCGAATTGTTAACATTCAGGAATGTTCAGCTGAAACCTTAGTGGCAGTGTGGAGTGTTCTTACCATCGAAGATCTCATCGCCATCATTCATGAGTTCGTCATCAGAGCAGATACTCAAGACGTTGACCAGCATCTCCGTCACTATAGATAGAAATATTTATACTAGGCTCACAACAAAATGACCGCATGACATGTTTTTGTCACATTTTTAATATTGGCCTGAAAAAAAATTCTGAACTTTTGGGATGAATTTATTTTCTGGCATGTGTAGAACTTCAGCGGGTTCTACCCTTATATGTCACATATTAGGACTTTATTCCATAATAATTGATGGTTAAAAGCGAAAGGAGCCGAGTCACTCATGAATCATGTTCGCGCTGAACACGACTAAAAAACATCTACGTAATATGGATAAAACCTTTGCGGTATGAGCTTTGTGTCTGTGGACCTCACTGCCTTGAGAACTCAGAACTTTTATTGCCTGGCCTTTAATTTAACTGCTGATTCTACTGCTTTGTTGCATAATTTTTATTACCATTTATTGTTTTGGGTTTTTTTTTTGGTTTTGTTTCATCGTTTTAATCGCAAATATTGGAGTCATTATTTATTTTAAAATACTCCCATTTACTTACATTAATTTCTGTACAGGTCATGATTTGAAAAGTGGCATAAAATCCTGAATCTTGAACCGATTCTTCCAAACCTGGGCTCATTTTGCGCGTTGTACAAATCTCCTTCCTCTATTTTAATATACAGGTAGGTGGATCGATTTATTTATTTCTTGATTTATTTATTTTTCGTCAATAGCTGCGTCGTGTAACTTGTTATGAGATCAGGTTATGGACAGGTGTGATCCTGATTTGGCCACCACGTGCATGTCTGATGTGGCACAACGCAATCCAAGGAATGCTCAGGGAGTTTGTGTAGATGCTCAGACGCACGGAATATTAGAGGGGACATTGGCGGCAGCCTACTTCCTGGTTGACAAACCGCGCTTCAATATGTCAAAAATAACAGCGGTGTCTTTTTGCGTGGAGTGCTGTTTGAACGTGGCTAATGTTACAAGTAACAGCATTGACTACCCTGGTAGACTAAGTCATGAACAGTAAATGACGTCATTGCAAAGGGTGCTGGATAAAAATACAACATTATACTGCACGTGTGCATGCGTGTGATACCCTTTTCCCCCACAAAAGGCAGAGACCAGGTAAAGACGTCCATGAAGTTAGGCAGCCAGTACGGGTGAGGTGAGCAGTTGAACTGACGGATGTTCATTACGTTGTTCTCATATTTGAGTACCGCCGCTGGAAACACAAATGCACGCACGCACACACTTTAGCTCAACTTTTTGATGGAATTAACCCGATCAAATATGTAGCTGAGTGTGTATTTGTATTCATGTGAGAGTTACCTTTGTTATTATAGACATCCAGGTAGTTTGGAGCAGAGAAGATGGTGATGAGTGAAGGAAACCCCGTTGTCTGACTCTTTCTGTACATACGGTACCTATGGGGATATTTTCGTAGAGTTAAATGTTTGTCGGCTGAAGATTGTGAAGTTTGCTGATCAAAGTGTATGAACCACATATTGCACAAATATGAAGACTCATGGACCACAAAAAGCTTAGTACACAGTTGATGGCCGATAATGGGTTCACCAAACTGAACAAAGAGTACAGCGGCAACAACAAGTGGAATAGTGCTGTCTTAATTGCTGCATTACATCGAGAGGATTTTTTTTTTCTCGGCTAACAGATGCTGGGACGGGGTGGTGGTGGGCGGGGATTATGGGTCAGAGACAATGACAACCCCACATGAATATGTATTTTCCCATTCTACATCAGGATAGCTGGTCAGTCTGCTGTAAATAAATCATCACTTGTGAATAAGGCAGGCTGAGATTGAATGTACGGAACAAAATGGTGAGGGTTAGGGTTGGTGCAAAAACATCACTTGCTTTCCTGTTTTGAGGACCCTTTTGACAGTCATTATTTTAATGTAGTGTTCTGCTGTTCTATTTTTAATTTTACTACTGCCGATGAACATTCATCTTACAAACTTTTTGGACAATCAAATACTCCTGTGTTAGTTAAATCATTTTTTTACTATTTTCGAGAGTCCAAATTTACAGGGGCGCATTTTTAGTGTACTATCACGCTGTGCCACAACATGCCAAGCAGCATGCAGGATAATTTAGAAGCAGAGGCGGAGAAGACTGTCAAGCTCCGGTAATAACTGTTGGTTTTCCCACATGGGAGAGAAAATATACTGGTGTACGGCACCTGTGATTACTTTTGTATGCGCTCTTCGTATGTGTCGCTTTCCATGTTTCAGAGGTAGCAGTTGTTTCAAAGTTTATAATTAACAAAACGTTGAGCCTAATTTTTGTTAGCCAGCCACAGACTTTCTTCAGATTAAATGATTACGTTTAGATGAAAATGGATGCGTTTACATATCCTATCTAAAACCTATACTGGTGTCTGTAAGGCAGAGACGTGAATTAAATATGTTTAAAGGTTAACAAGGGAGTGGCTGGCTGCTTGCTGTGAAAACCGACAGTTTTGTTCGAGAGTAAAGAGACACGACTCGCTTTTGTCTCCTCACCTTGTAATTCATTGCATCTCCACAGTTTCCCATTTCCTGTCAGTGGCACAGCGTGTTTCAATAAGTTCAAAGAGGAACTAAACCCAAGATGTCAAAACTTGATGTTTTAGTTCTTTTCAGTCAAGCAAGAGTGCGAATTTGCAACAATGTGACATATGTCAGCACTCTCCTCGCTTTGTTGACTAACAAATTCAAACAGTGTTGGTAAATATTCTACAATGACAAGCTACACATCGGTCAAATCTGTTTATCCAGCCAGCTAATGGCAGATGCGAAACTCGGGTGACTCTCAATTGCTGTTCTATGATCATTCAAAATGGTACCACATCTTATATTACGTACAGTAAGGCCACCCTCCAGGGAAAAAGAAACGTCATGCCTGCTGCCACGATTGTTCATGTGTTACGGTAACACATCTCCTACATGGTGAGAGAGCCGTGTACAGGCAGGGTACACCCTAAACTGGTAGCCAGCCGATAGCAGGGCACACATAGACGAACAATCATTCGGGCTCACAATCACACCTAGGGACAATTTAGAGTGTTCCGTTAACCTGCCACACATGTTTTTGGAATGTGGGAGGAAACCGGAATACCCGAAGAAAACCCACGCACTCATGAGGAGAACACGCAAACTCCGCACAGGAAGGCCAGAACCGGAATCAAACCAGAGAAGAGTACCGGCAGGGGCAAAGAGGAAATATATGATTAAAACTAAAGAAGTGGAGGCCTTGGAATTTTGCACGGGACATTTTCCTGGTTGTCGTAAGACGAAAATGTCCTTGTGCATTTGGCTTTTCAAGTGAAAACAAATGTTGAACCACACATTCTACAGACATCTTACCCAGCATCCTGTGCTTCATGTGCTCTTATGATAGAAAGCAAGTTGTTGGTCTGTAAAAACTCACACACTGCCGGGTAACTGGGATGGGAAAAGAAGAAAGTCAGTGAATGTGAATAAAAGCCACCGCAGCACTATCAAACAAAATGCACCCGTTAAAGATCAGCTACACGGAATACACATACAAGCGATATGTAAATATGTAAAAGCAGGACGAGGTTCAAGGTACCCTTAACCATTTCATGCACCTGATAAAATGACAAGCTGTCCACTGTAGTAACCGTTGTGCCTGAAAGGGCTAATGTTGCTGAGGCCATGGATACACTGTCCGCCAATATCTTTGATAAAATGGCTTCTTCTAAACTTGAAGAAAATCACTTCTCTATGCGAGAAAAAACATGTCGTATGAACAACTTCGACACCAGGAACACCACCGCAAATATAAAGAGCGCTTCATCTCTCTTTTAAGTGCAGCTTGTCTGGTTCCATTTCTCACTGTTGACAGTTTCATGTGCATCTTTTATCTCCTCTCCTCACCACCAGCACCATCATGGACTTCTCCGATGTCACTCTCCCTCTTCTCTCACTGTATCTTAATATCACTTGTATCTGGCATGGGTAGCCAGTCGTCATAGCAACAGAATCGTGCAGCTTCCCTTGGGATTGTGGGATATTGTTTCATGCCGAAACAGAACTGCGTGCACGTGTTTTGCGAGCGCGGTGTGTTTATGTGTTTGATCACCAAACCGTGTGTCTGTTGTCTGCGTGTGCAAATGTGCGTGTTATGAACTGGCCAAGATTTTCGTCTCCAGTGCTAATTCAAGTGATCATTGTTGGATCTGAGATCATAGGAGGAATCACTCTCTTCTCATCACTATAGCGTCCCAAAGTAATAGCTTGAAGTCCACCTAAAACATATGAGACTTCTGATTTGTAAATGAAAGTCATTCCAGTTTAAACGTCATGTCTTACCAGCCTGTTGGGTTGCATCATAACTGGAGCAACAGCGTATAACTCTTGTGTACTTTGGACATTGTGTGTGTGTGGGGGGGGGGGGTTACCTATAGAAATAGGAGCAGCCTCTGACTGTATTGTGTCCAAAGTACTCTTGGGTCTTCTCATTGCCAAAATCTTCAAGTGGGTCTGCCCACAACAAGTCACACATGGGCCCAAACGCCGGAGGCTCCTTGAATCGGTCCAACTAGGACACAACATTGACACACAAAAACACATCGACATAAGTCTCACATACACGAGGGCTGTGAGGAAGGGACACACCCATGTTTTCCTCCACAAAATCAGACACACCAGAACATGTCATGTAAATCACAGGAAAGAAAGCAAACACATCACACGTACACCCACATACACTATAGATCCTCTCAATAGCAACCCCCCCCCCCCACCACCACCACCAGGAGGTAGAGGATGTCACACCAAAAGATTCACCATGGAAACACTGCCATTAGATGAGGAAGTGTGTGCTCTCTCAATATCTCTACGGTCATGTGGGGAGTTTTGTATGTTGTATTTCATTCAGCATATAGTGTTTTATTTCATGGTCCTTGTGAAAAATCAAAACAGAATTGAAGACATGAAAAACAGAGAACCTGAAAATGTTGTTTTCTGCTTGCTTAACATGAAAAAAAAACTTCAATTTTTACCTTCAAAGTGCAAATTTTCATGAAAACTACGAAGATCTTCTCGGCTAAACACTTTCAGGAGATGTGAAATTAGCTGTGGCTATGATACCAGTTAGCTGCAAAGTCGCCATGGTTGTTTCGGTCAAGTGACTATCCCTGAAGATATCTGCTGCGAATACTCTATGTGACCAATACTGTATTAAGATAAATAAAAAGAATTATGAAGCAAAAGCTCTTGGATTGGCAAGGGTGTATGTTCATTGGTTAAATTAGAGCTAGGATAAGATCCGGCTCATGTCTGATCCTAATGAAGACAGACGCCAGACGAAATAACGTAGATGGATGAATGGATGGACTATGACTTTACTACTGCACCTGCTTAGGTTAATGGCAGCATATTCTGATTTAAAGTACATACAAGTTTCACATAGTTTCATCAGCCAGGCACGATTGTAATCCTGACAACACGACAAACCCAAGAAAAACATATTAAAAAAGAAAAAAAAAAAGAGGACCTAATTACTAGAGAGAAATCAAACATCATCACAGCCAAGGAACCTCCAAAAATGCAGTAGCAAAACAATATTGAATAGCAAATAACTACAGGGCATATCCTCCCGCTTGCAATCAAGTCATTTTTTTAAGCGCATGGCTTGCCACTTTCAAACTATGCCTCCAACACTCCCGTCCACACATCTGGCACACCCGCCATACGTAACCTAGAAATTTGTGCATGATCAGAAAATAGGTGTGACTCAATGAAATCTGAGAATGGCCCTAATTCCCGGAGTGTGGAGTTTTCATGCAACGGGGAACTCTGTAGAAAGCCATTTGGAAAAGATGTCACACTTTAAGTGTGAAATGAACTTTAGTAGAAGATCGGGAAGTTATACACCAGTGATGTGTGTACAGCTCATCTAACTGGCTACTTTGAAGGAGAATGTGTTTTAGCAGTCTGTATTCAATAAAAATACTTTAGTCAGAATACTCATTCATGACTGAATGGATGTTTGGAGCCAGTGCAAAGCGAGTGAATGTTGATCAGGTTGCCCAGTACTGTGCCGTGCACAATGAATACAAATGAGGAAAAAACAATATTTCACTCTGCTATTAAGTTGATTGCAGTTGTTTGTGGTCAGGGCTCAAGCCCCCATCAGCCTGCAGAAATGGTATTTGCAGTTAAAAAAAAACAAAACAAAACAAAAAAAACCCACCAAAACAAAACAAGTCCACTGGTACTGATCCCTTTTTGCCAATTAATATGACATAATGTCAATGTCCGGCCATCGGCATAATGTCGTACAGTCACATTCTGGCTGTTGAGCAGTTGGTGAGCATATCTGGGCCAGGTGTCACCCCCCCACTCCCTCCGTACATCAGCACGTCAACCAAATCGGCTGATACATCACCACCCGTTGGAGCCGCTGAAATGACTCAAAAGGCTCTATTTTTGTAGACCAATCATGGTGCACCTGTTTCTCTGAAGCTGAGCCCTGATTCGTTGTTACCTGAGCAAGTGTGATGTCATTTTCAGTTGACAGCAAGTGCCAAAAGGGCCGACACCTGAGATGGGCAAAAACGGGTGGATTTTATTGTATAACTTATATTTCACAAACACAATATTAATCAGAATACCGTGTATAAACCAGTAGGGTTGCATAGAGCATACAGTATTCTTGTAAAGAACATTTTTGGCTTGACTTCCCCTCTCATATATTTTTAAAGGCACCCCATGACCGTGTGTGTGTGTGTGTGTGTGTGTGTGTGTGTGTGTGTGTGTGTGTGTGTGTGTGTGTGTGTGTGTGTGTGTGTGTGTGTGTGTGCATGTGTGTGCACGGAGCTAAGGAGGGTCTCACACTCAGATGTAGAATCCGGGGTGAAAGTTGTCCTCCAAAGGCCCATTTTACAGTGGTCAACTTTAAAGCAGCCACAAGTGGAGAGCTCCTTGCTGTTTCTTATAAAAGTCCTCTGTGAAAGCTAATCTCCTGCTTGGGCACCAGCGAGCGAGTCCATTATGCTTCTACCTGTGCTGAATTTAAAGGGAATGAAAGGAGTGATTCAATTGGCCAGCAATTAAGTGTGCTATGTTCACTCCCACAACGGCGCAAATGGCTCTACATGTGCTAGAATTGCACTGCGCATGAAAATAGGGCCCGAAGTCTGCAATATGATGTACCTAAACAAGGTGCTGGACTTACTACAGCCTTTGGATTGTGCATGAGGAAAGGAACCCAAGTTTTTGGGTGAGTGTGCACAAGGCGAGATTTAACAGGGCACACCCTCCTTTTTGTTAAGCTCTACCCTGAATGCGTACATGACACAGTTATAGGAGGTCAATGCGAGGATCTGCGCAGCCAAAAAAGTGCGCCTGGCTTCAGAAAATATGCCAGGAGAATATGCCATTCATCACCCATAATTATTTTCTCCTTTCAAATGTTTGAAAATGTCGAAATTTGATGCAACACATCTAAACAAAAAAGAGTGAGGTTAGATCAAATGTGTGCAACGAGGTTTTGAGCGTGTGTACCTTTTTGATGTCATCCAGTGTGTGGATCTCTGGTGAAAGGCCCCCGTGCACGCAGAGAAACTGCTGGTTCATCAGAGCTGCCAGGGGCAGGCAATCAAACGCCTCCATGCAGGAGTCATACACCTGCTCCGAATACTTAATCTTACCTGCGGGACATTTGGGGACACAAGTTGAAAGAAGCTCCAAATGTATTTTGGATGTGCTTTGAACGGCCAGTTTGTCACACAGTGTGTTTGTTATTGGATTCAAACAAAAGTATAAAGTGAGAAAGAAAGTGAGAGAGATCAAAGCTGGGACTCAAAGCGCTGTGTGACTTTCATTAGTCATTCATGTATGCATACATGAAAACACATACAATATATAGTATGGCATAGGTGCAATATATGCTTTCAGGACTCCACTTCCCTATTCAGGGATTTAAAAATCTGACCCAAATATGAGCATGAAGCAGCACAGAGAGGCTGTGAGAAAAATTGTTTTGTTCTAAAAACAAATCCTCCTTTGATTTGGCAGCAATATCACTTATGAACTCCAAGAGGACGTATCTTGAAAGTACATTTCACACTCGGGCCCTAAAAATGAGTCCTAACACAAAGGCAAGATCACTGGATTAAAATAGCAGAAAGGTTAAAAAAAATCATGAAATCAAAGGAGTACATGGGCGGATTCTGGATGCAAGACTAACAGTACGATAATTTCATGAATAGAAAAAAAGGAGGACATTTAGAAATGATACAAGAGAGAGAAAAGAAGGGGGCAACAATTGTGGAGAGTAAGAGGAGAAGGAAGTGGCTGAGGACAGGGGATTTCCTCCAATCAATCAAGGTTGGTATTGGAACAGTGTAGCATTTGTGTGAGCCGAGAGGTGTGAAGGTGTGTGTATGTCTGCCAGGAGTGTCATTGTCATCCACTCCATGTGACTCGTGTATAACAAGACATCATTATTGCCAGGTGTCAGCTCTTTTCTTCTTTTTCTTGTTCTCTCTCTCTCACTCACACACACACACGCACACACAGACACACACACACACACACACACACACACACATTATTTCTAAAGATACTGCAAAAGCACACACGCGCAGCAGATGGTAATTGAGGGCGACCATCATTCGCCAGGAGCGCCAGGGGAAATTAGCTTCCTCGTCCCCTGGCCAATCAGACACTGAGGAGAAAGTCCCAGAACCAATCACTGTGGGCCAAATTAATTTGCCGCTAATCATCCACTCTTGGACAGGACTCACAGGCAGAGCGGAGTCAGAGAGTAGGCTTAGAAACGATCTGGGAAAAGGATGGAAGAATCAGCTCAAAGAAAGACTCGAATGGGGGGAATGAAGGCTGAAGGACTCAGCTAGGAACATGGTCGAGGAATGGGGAGATAGAGGACCACGCTTAATCTGGTATCAAACACTGATACACGATGATACAAAACGAAATACTTTTCCAATGGCATAACTGCACTCCCTCATACAGTACTGTGTGGAGTTTGCATTATTCCGGGCTGTGTGGGTTTTCTCCAGGTACTAGGGTTTCCTCCCACATTCCAAAAACATGCATGGCCGGCTGATAGAACACTCTAAATTGTCCCTAGGTGTGAGTGTGAGCGCGGATGGTTGTTCATCTCTATGTGCCCTGCGATTGGCTGGCAACCGGTTCAGGGTGTCCCCCGCCTACTGCCCGAAGACAGCTGGGATAGGTACTCTCCAGCACCCCTCGCGACCCTTGTGAGGATTAGCGGATTGGAAAAGAGAGAGAGAGAGAGAGAGAGAGAGAGAGAGAGAGAGAGAGAGAGAGAGAGAGAGAGAGAGAGAGAGATGTTTTTTTGAATGTGGGAGGGAGCTGGAGTAGTGCATGCAACCTGAAAATTTGAATCCAGAATCTTGGGACTTCAAGGCAATTGTTCTAACCACTCATGCAATGTGCTGCCCAAATTGTAAGTCAATAAAATGAGCGATAAAAACTGCAACACTGTGGAGAAACTGTTGCTCTTATGAACAACTTTTAACGAAGAAATCACACCGCGTAAGTGGAAATGACACATAGGACGAACGCAAAAGTTGTGACATTTCGAGAGAACAAACGAGTTACTCACATTCTTGTTTGAAGGTGAAATATTCCGTCAGATGTCTACATTCATGATTTCCCCGTAGAAGAAAGAGTGTCTTTGGGTAGAGGATTTTCAGTGACCACAAGTACAGCACACACTAAATGTTCACCGGGGAAAGAGAAAGAATTAAAAGAAGCAAATGAATGACATGATATGTTGTGTAGATGGTATAAATATGTAAATGGGCATTCCTCTTTCTTTTGACTGAACAATTATCTTCAATAAAACACACAAAAAAGTCAATAATAAAAAAAAAAAAAAGTCCTTAACATTTGAACAGTGAGCAATACATCAAAATAAAAGTTTAGCAAAACATTTAATGAAACACATTCACAAGCATAGACCCTTTTCAAATGTCATTCACAAAAATTGTGAAGGAAATCACACAAAAACAATTGTTCATCCTACTTCCTAGCAACATTTCAATATACCGGATAAGAGTGGAGCTAATTTTGCAACATTGAGCGTTTGTTCGTGGTTACAGTCCATTCACATGGTCTGATGTTTTTAATTCTTATCCTATTTGTCGCATCACGCAACTGTCTGTCTCACCAGCTCCGCAGAAAATGCAAACGTCTGAAAGGGAACAAAATACAGACTTGAACTTCATATGGCCATAATCCGACAGCAATGGTCAATTTGGGGGAATGTGTTGAAGTCAATTGATAGAAAGAGTAAAAGTAAACTGAACAAATGTAACTAGAATAAATTGATTCCAGAATTGAGTTTTCCCAGCTGATATCCTGAAAAGGGGCTGCTCTACATTAGGTCTATCTGCCCTTGACGATTGGAACAAAGGTGGACTAAATATTGCTCACCTCCCACCAAACTGTCAATGACATAACACTCCCGCTTCACCACGGTTCACTTCAGCAAGACAATGTGATCGCAGAAAAACCTTCATGCACTTGCATCTACTGCACAGAGACAATTTGTGGTCTTGTTGTCAATAATGTCATTAAAAATGATCGGGAAAAACTTTTTTTTTTTTTTAGGTGGTTGGGCTGTCACCATTTGCAGATGTCCACCGTCAATACTCAGAACAAAAACAAGCCAACTTCAGGTCCAATGATTTAACTATCTGTCCGCTCCAAAAAACTTGAACTGCGGAAGACAAGAGGTAGACGTTTCGGTCTTCACAAACACTTGTTCATCCAATCACAAATTTAAGAGCAGCCGTGTTAGGTTCATGATTGACAGTCGGGGTATAGCAATGAGTGATCGTTCGTTCAAAAGGCAATTAAAGTGTTGGCAATCATAGTTTTGTTTGTGGTATATTTTCGGTCTTCTAAAGTGTCAACGTAGACATTTATAATCACTTTAAGAGGAGCGTTAATTATTCGCGAACTGCAGTCAGGCTCGGTCATGATCCAGTGTCGATGCGTTCTCACCTCGATACTGAAATAGCCCCTGTCCACATAGTCCCCCAGGAAGAGGTAGCGCGTGTTGGCAGGTGAACCTCCCACTTCAAACAACTTCATCAGGTCGAAGAACTGGCCGTGGATATCTCCGCACACTGACAATGACATATAACATACGAGGGCATCGTATCATCCTGGTTGCAGTCACTTTCTACACAGAAGCAATTTGAATTTGGACATTATGCTCCCCCATTCCACTATGACACCAAGTGGGCAATTCCCATTTAATGCCTGTATCCCATTTTCCCAAAAGTATATTCACATGTGACACATCCAAAACGGTGTTATCATTCACAGAATTCTTGCAACAATACATAGAAGTGCACAAGTGAGGACAGAAGTAAACAGTAATACACAATACAAATATTAAACATGGCACACTGTTTGGTTGACCAAGGCTGACTTAGCGTAAACTGAGCATTCGTCCCCTGTCAGCAATTATTGCCCTTATATAAATGGGAGCTTGTTTTTATTGTTTGTTTGTTTGTTTTTTGGGGGGGGTTTCGGGTGTTTTTAATTGGACATTTAACAATTAGACACAACTCCATGTTTTTTTTTGTCTTGTTCTGCAGACATGACACATATCTGAATTCTTCCAAATCGCAATTGTGCCACTTGAACCGTGCAGCATAAATCTAGTTTGATTTGCCCAAAACAAATTGTCATCGTTCAGAAAAGAGTCTTGTGTCACTGTTTCCCACTAAAACTGACTCTGCGTTATGTTGATGTTGTCATTCAGTGAACCCGTAGTTCACGATTCCATTTCCTCAAATATGCATGTTGCATTTCATATCCCAATGTGTACTCCACCACCTCAAATGAGCCTTCCCGTTGGAAGCTGTCACATTGTGAAAGACTTCGGGACCGTATGATCTCCCCATCCCCTCTCTCACCATCCGTCTGCTTTCCCTTAGTCAAAGTGCCCCTCTGCAGCCGCTTCACTTTAGATCTTCCACATCTGTCTGACTGCTGACATCTGTCTGTCCCTTCATCACGTTGCAATCTTTCTGTCTCTGTCAGTTTTGCATCCTCTTTTCAATCGACCTTGACTTTGAGAATGAAATTGAGCCACACATATCTGCGTTTTCAGTCGTCAATGAGCTTCTGTAAGTATTCTTAATGGTGGAAACAACCCGCCTTTTCAAAAGAAAAATCTCACTGCACAACACAAAACAAAAATGTCACCCCAAAAAATTGAAAACTTAAATCACGGCGATCTTGTCTCATTTCAATTTGCCTGCAAACATATTCGATGCGGAATTTGGGCCGGTTTAGTTTTTAGTAGCTGCTTGCTGGAATCCATGAGAGGCTACACAGGCTCACTGTAACTTCGGCCATTTAATAGGAGACCATTTAGTTGCTTTGTCTGTCACTTTACATCACTCACATCGGCAGATGAACAGAGTCCTTTTTGTAATCAATAAAAAATCATTTTCAGACAAATTGAGTGAAATTGGATAATTGCCCTGCAGCACCACTAATGATCACTCACTGCATACAAGGGTGCGACAGCAACCTAAGTAGGAAGTAATGGTATAAACAATGGGACCAACTTTTCCAGGTATTCTCTCAAAAGAAATAGTCGTACAATTTTTTTCAAAACAAACTGTCTCCCTTTATTGGAAAGAAATATGTTTGTGTGGGTGTGCACACCCACTTTATGGAAGGGCCAGTCATTCTGGGTATGAAACCATGAACGTAGACATCCGCCGCATCTTGCACTAGCAATATTTGTCTATTTTTCCTCACACATGGACTGCAAATCTCCTCTTTAGTCAGCTCACACACATTGCATTTGCTGTTGGTACGAGTTCTGGCTGGGGAATTCTAATTTTTGTTTTCATCTATTGATTCCAATCTTTTGTTAATTGGATGTATCATATTCCAGTTAGAAGATAAAAAAAATAAATAAAAATTAAAAATCATCCTCATTTCCAGCTTTCTTGCCGGCTCCTTATACTGCGCCAAAATTGGAAGTTGGGATTATTCAGAATTATTCTCTCTAATTTACAAGACCCTGTTTGGCCACTAAAAATTACAATGCCGAATCGTTGTGCTTCTCCCACTTTTTTATTGTAGTTTTTTTTAGACAGTTTAATTTCTATCTTCTGTGTTTCTCCCAAAGCCTGAATATTATTTTTTTCCCCTATCCACCCATTTCTCAATTCTTGATAGAGATTTTCTTTTCTGTTTAGTACCGTCCGTGAAAACCTGGACTAATTTGTCTCAGCTCTATCTGTAAGTATTCACTCATCACTTGGTCTTGCTCAGACAAAAGTAATGTGAGGTAGGTTCTTCTGAGTCAGATTGTTTAGCTGTGGAAGAACTTCCAATAGCAGATCAATTTTTCTGTGCCGAAAACAGCAGGTTGCAAAAGGTTTGCAATAAACATCTTCTACTCGACCAGCGCAACATCTGCTTGTCTTTCATTGTCCCCGGGGAGCAGTACCTGTGAAAGACTAGCAATGTGGAACAACCCACACAGATTCATCTCACCACTTATATTTGCATAAATACACACACACACACACACACACACACACACACACACACACACACACACACACACACACACACAAACACACGGTCAATCGTCTGGATGGGTTGCAGTAAGTATGGTTGTCTTCTAGTTTCAGAAATCTGTTTTCCATTTTGCTTTCCATCGATCTCAATCTATCCTGTCTTGCCACCCGCCATATTCTCCTTGCTTCATGCCATTTCCCTGTCAAGGAAATACATGCAGATATTGTGAGGTGTATAATACATCGATTGTCTCTGGGGGTACATATTTTCACGTGACGGCGTTATTAAAGGTGGATTAGATCACTAGATACCCACTGAAGGCCCAGCTCCAAAGCTCACCGCGCCCCCCCCCCCCCCCCCCCCCCCCCCCCCCCACTGGATATACCTTGTTGGAGAACATTTTAGATTACATTCGTACCTGTAACATATGCTTGTAGCACTTCTCCCAGATTTCTTTATACAACCGTAGGCTATACATTGTGGCATTTTTGCTGTAGAGACAGCAAATAATGTGAAAACGCTGCAGCGAAATCAATGTATTCAAGTTAGGCGGGCTTAGTGATCGGCAACAAAGGATGGCCACCGGTGGCTTCGCTTCTCCCAACGGGGAGGAGGCTGCATTGTGAGTTCATTCATATATAAGTCCGTGGTTCAAACATGTACTAATGTATGTGCGAATGTGAGTGAAAGACTTACCCTGCACCTACCTGCCTTAATAATGTGGACTGAATCGGTTGCAACAATGGGGAAATGCAAAGTTATTTGAGGGTAATGACTCGCAATAACTATATTTGTAGAGCATAAAACCTGTGCATCTTGATTTTCGTTTCGCCTGTTTGGGAATTCGGCTGAGCATTTCACGTCGAACTATTGGCACAGTTCTTCACAATGGTGATGTGCAGTCCAGATCTTTTTTTGGTAATCTTCTACTTTTTAATTACTATTAGTAATCAATTTACTGCATTGTAGAGCAATACCTGTTACTGGAGCCTCAATGTCCAACATGGTGCGCTCTTGGCGTAGGATGGCGGCGCCTTCATCGATGATGCGCAGGGCCACCGCCTCCTCCAGCCGGCCCTCCTTGGTGAGGTGAGCTTTGAGCAGGTCCACCCTCGGTCGGCCCTCAGCGTCGAACACTTCCTTCATGGTCAGCCGATGGGCCAGAGGGAAGGGGACCGCTGTGGAGAGAGATCATTTGAAAAGGTGTGTGGATGAAAACAAAAGCGAGCTGGTGTACACTGTGACTGAGGGGTGCAGAAATGATTAATTGATGTCTCCTGCAAACATTAGAGGCCCTCTGTGCTCTCCATTATTGAGCTGCACGCTTTGACTCTGCGTGAGTTATGGAGGGTAAGGCGTACTGTAATGAAGCAGGGGCTGCCACAGTTATCAGGGGTGCTTGCCTCTGTTCTGCAGTAATGTCTTTCTTACATAATGAAGGGCCTCAGGCCACTGCTGGAGCACGGGGGGGTTGACTGACGACGAGGGTGATACAACGAGAGTGCACAGCTGCAAGTGAGGAGTCGCAGCCACAAAAACAAGACACGTTGGTAACATTGCAATCATACACGAGCGCGCACAAACTCACTGGTATGAAACAAAAGGCAGAGGTGTACAGGGTGCATGCGTACATCATGTATGGAACAGTAGCAGTTACAGTACATGGCTGACTGCTTGTTTTGTAAGACGCACATCACCTGAACACACATGAGATCATATGTAATAAAAGGCATTGTTGCGCAGAATCCACTGAGCCTGTTCGAGCCCCACCAGTGCTAACACAGATAATGGCCTAGATCACACACTAAAAGTAGGCCTGGCTCTCTTTCTCTCCACACACACAGACACACACACACACACACACACACACACACACACACACACACACACACACACACACACACACACACACACACACATTGACTCTGCTACTTTGTCTCTGTTTTGCACTCCTCTTGCACCGTCTGTTTATTCCTCCCTGTTCGGGATTGCCATGCCTCTTTCTCATTTTTGACGCTGGGAACAAGCGACAATCATCTCTGCGAGGGTTCGCACTCATGTCGGTCAGGATATTTTAACGTGAATTTCACATTCCATTTTGCTAAGGAACAAGCACCCAACCCTCAATGACATGGGTACGTCCAGTGCTATAGCTAAGTACATGAAAAACTGCAGGGGTTGTACAAAGCTTGCTCGTGGCACGAATGGATCATATTTTTGCCAGACACAAATTGGGTCCTCTTTCCATTGTGTGGTGCCTTACAGTCATCTACTCGCTTTGGTTTGTGGGAGACTGAGAAAACCCATGCGTCATTGAATGCATCAGTCATAAATAGACAACCACAACAACAACTTTTTAATGTACTACTTAATAATCAGAGATTTTTGCTGATTGGGGTTAGGCATGTTTGGACTCTTTGTTTTGTGCATTTTGAGGTTTTGCTATTGCACTGCCTTTTGCAAGCTCTTTCCGTTCATGTTTCATTTTCCTAGCTTTTTGTTGCCAGCGATTTCTGTTTGTACTTTGCCGGTCCTTCGTTTTTTCTTGAAATAAATGTTGTTTGTTATGGATTTTATTTGTGTCTACCTTTGTGGGACCCCTTCACCAATCATTTTGTCCATGAACAGGTGATTTTTTGTTTTTCTGAAACATCTAGCTATGAATTACAATGCATGGTCAAACCTGTATTGTGCAAGTTTTTATTGGTCAAACTTAAAAACAAAAAATGAAAATATCTCAAAAATGTGATTAAAAAAACATGTAAAGTCATTTTTAAATCAGTGTCAAAAACACCTTTAGGGACACATTGATTAAAATTTGCTGTTTACCAGTGTAATTGGTCTATAACTAGTTGTGAGAGTGAAAAAAAGTCGAGTTGTAGCCATGTAGGTACTGTGCTATCGAAAAGAGGCATTAGCTAACAAATGATGACTCGCTACTACCTAATTGCACCTCATGTCTCAATAAGTAGGCCATTACGTAACCTTAAGAGTGAATACAACACATCAACACACCAGAGCACCGACACAACCCAGGACAAAAGCAGCTGCCAAACTGGAGAGTCTGCTTTCCGTCACTCCACACCGAGTGCTAGGACCATCTTTGCCTTTCAGGTGGCGGCTGATTAATATTTTAAAAAAGTTTGTGCATACCAGGCAGTCAGACAACACAGAAGAGTATAAGTTACTCATGCGTGTGACTTCAGAGTTCTGAAAAAGAAGAGAACAAGCCGTGGTCAGTGTGTGACTCAACTTTGTAGTCCAGTGGTGTACCGTACATACACACAAGCTAGTACATACATAGTAACTCAATACGTGCGTGCTCCTCATTTGAGGCAAAACTAAGGCATGTATATGTATGTGCGTTTGCATGTGCGCGTGTGTGCGCATGTGTGTGTATGCGCACAAGTCATTAATGTAGAGTCAAGTGTGAACAAGAGGGCAGGGTGTCAAGAGCAGCAGAGAACGAAATGATACTTGGGAAAACCATTTCCAGAAGAGAGCTCGGCACCAATACAGTTTTACCATAAATGTCCTTTTCAACCGACTGCTGACCTTTTCATTGGCACAAAATACAAGCTCTTTTTCATTTTAGTGCAGAAAGACATTTGAATTTGAAGTTCAGGGTTGTTCTTAATCACTGCCAAACCTCCTAGTGACAATGCATATTCGGCATCGACAAGATAGCCGTTAGTGGCAGTGTATGATTTCAGCACTGTGGGAGGAGACAACAAATGCAATTGGTGTTTATATAGTGTTTACATCCAGATTTGGTCAGATGGAAAGTAGTCACATAAAACCATCTTAATCTCAATGATTATTCATTCATGATCACTGTAAGGCACTTATATAGATCACAATTAAGCGCTGCATGTAAACAACAAATGAGTGAGTTTATAATTTGACGTGTGTAAGTAATACGACTGTCAATTCAAGTAGTGGTGTAGTAAAATGTACTCTGGAAGAAGTTTTAGAAGCACAAAGACAAGAACATCCCACAAGTTTGTCATTGTTGTTTTCGTTGTAACGCACTTGTGCACAAAAACTGAATGGTTGTTTGACTATGTGTGCTGCAATAGGCTGGTGACCTGTTCAGGGTGTACCCTGCCAACTGCCTGAAGACAGCTGGGATAGGCTCCAGCACGGCCGCCACGCTAACAGATGGATGGGTGAAGTCCACAAGATACGTCAGCGATACTTGTCGTTGCGCGTTCACATCAGTAAGGAAAAGTGGAGTCGAATTCATTTGAAAAAGTGCTGTCCTTCGTATGTTGGACAGGAAGCACGTTTTCATCGCTCCTTGATTTGGTGACATCATCCAACAAAGGTGTAGGAAAGCTGGCATATGTCATGTTCTGTCTGTTTTAATTGTGTTTCAGATCCAGCTGGAGTGAAGGGTGTTTCCCTCCGGCAGGCGTACCTGTTCTGCATTTCCCCATCAAGCTTTGACAAGTATTTAAGGACTGCCAAGCTTTCTAATCTCTTGTCGGATTATTGACCTCGCTCGCTGTAGCACTTCAAGTGTTCCGTAGTTGCTCTTGTTTTTCATTGTTGCTAGTTTGTAAGTATTTTTATTTATTTTCTTATTGCTCTTGATCTTTGGCTTTGCGCTATTGGCTTCTTGATATTTCGTTTGTTTATTCTTGGTGTTCCCTAGTGCCTTTGCCTTTTGCAAGCGCTTTTGTTTATGCATTGTTTCTCCTGGCTCCTTGAGACCAGTGATTTCTGTTTGTACTTTGTCGGTGTGCTTTTCTGTCATAAATATTTTTGTTATCGCAATTTGTCTGGGCCAGCATTTCTGGAATCCAAAAACATTATTCGATTCGGTCCAGAACCTGACAGCATAAAGGTTAGCTGACTGGACTTTACGAAGAGGCCCTTCATCACTCTTTAAATTGGCCGACTAAGTGATTAGAAGTTTGAAGGCACTTTTGTGACCCTGTGGACAACCTGTCCAAGAATACAACACATCACCACAAAATCCTCATTTATACAACTCAAGTATTTAAAGTTGTGATGATTATGTCGACACATTTTTTAATTTGACCTTTTTATGACTTTGAGGGAGAAACAAAGGTAATTTTCCCCTTTCAAGGGAGGGCGGGGGGTGATCCCCAACTGTTGCACAATGACAGATGAAATCACTTTTAGGTAGTTCTTACTGACTGTGAATATTCTCATTCATCCATTCACACTGCCGACTGTTTATGTCCTTCGACTCACTCTCCACAGATGAACTCCCAAGTGTGGAATCTATTCAGTGAAAAAGCAGCCAGCTCTGCCAAAAAAATCTCAGCAGCACAGAGCAGCGAAGGATGAGTCCATGACATGGCTTTCAACCAAAGCCCCTAAATTTGTTTGGGCTGCTCAAATACCCTAAGTGGAGCAGAATTTGATCAGAATGCACCCTCCTACTATTTATAATGGCTAAAATCAATTATAGGGATATTTCATTAGTTTCAGCGTCACAGGACACTATTCGCAAGCAGCAGGGATGTTGCAGCAGGAAGTGACAGCAATGATGAACGGAGAGATCGCAGACATGACTGAAGATGCCATCATCTCTTGTAATTTTTTTGTTCGGAAAACGGGTATAAACATTAAGTAGAGTAGTTGTCACATATTTGAAACACGAGATGTCAAACTGCAATAATACATGTACAATAGACAAGTGAGGATCCCTCATTCTTGTGCAACACTGTGTCTACTGATCATCTGTGCATTTCTAACCGAGTGACAAGTCTGTGTGTGTCAGTAAGTTATTAGATGTAGGTTGCCTTCATCTCACATGATCCCATACACACACCTTCCAAGATCCTTCGTTCTGTTGCTCTGCATGAATAAATAAAACGCAAAGAAGTGGAGGATGAAAGGATGAGACCAAGTCATTAAAAAAGGGGGAGGAGCAAAATCTGGAGTGCATAGAAATTGAAGAGGGAACTGTGTGACTCTTAATAGTGTGTGTGTGTGTGTGTGTGTGTGTGTGTGTGTGTGTGTGTGTGTGTGTGTGTGTGTGTGTGTGTGTGTGTGTGTTTATCCGCCATCTTTGCCCCAGATCAGCTGACAGGACCGTGGGTATTTGAAGGTGGTGATGGTGGTAGGGGAATAAGCAAAGATATGTTTGAAGTCATTCAATTAATGCACACTACACACATGAAGCGCCATCTGTGTACACTCA